GAAAAAGAATAATTTGTTTTTGAGAAATAGAAGAGAAGGTTTGATTGTTTAAACTAATTAGTTTTGATTTGATTATAGTTGTAGTTATTTGTTGTTGAAATATCAAAGATGAAGTTTGTACAAGAGGTTTAAGTTTAATGTTTAATAAGCCAAAAACACAAAGTCTATATAATAGATTATTTTTGAAAATAATACAAATAGTGTAGTCTGAAACATGATTGCTTTGTTCAGTTGTGACACAAAGAATATTTTTAATTCTACATATAAAGCATGTATGATAGTGTTGAGAATATGCAATAATTGCAGTTAGAGTAGGATCTATTTGGAAGCCAGAAAATAGGATGCAAGATTTAGTTGAAGAGATATCTAGTTGTTGTTGTTTAGAGTTAGATGAAGCAGTCAATTCATTAGTAATTTTTATAAATTGTTTTGCAGCCATAGTAGATGTAATTTGAGTTATAGGTTGACCAAGAGATGTTAAATGAGAAATTTTGTAGAATTTAAAGATAAAACTAATATAATATACTTCACAAAAACATGTAGCAATAGTAGATTGTAAAGGAACTTTAAAATAATGATGTTTTTTAACAGAAACATTACAATTAATTGAATTGACATCTGCAAGGAGTACTCATAAGAATTGAGGTTTTCTTTTGATCATTTTTATACCATAATAATCTTTGTATTTGCTATAATAGTAGTTAATATTATAAGAATATAGATCTTTATTAATAAGAGTTGGCATTTTTGCTTAAGGAATAAAAATAAAGTAGATTATGGAAATCTTAAATATGAGGTGATCTGAAAGATATAGGATGTGACAAATAAGGGTATAATAAATAACAGAATATGACAAATAATAAGATGTGACAAATAAGATAATGTGACAAACATAGTGTATGTCAAATAAGTATTATATGAAGTATATAACACTTGCAAATCTGTAAGTCCAGATTATCATTAAACAAAAAGTTGTATAAAATTAAAAGAATACAAATTTGTAAACAATACAGATTAATTCAAATAGTGTAATATTGATATGTAATCCTGTTTGGGTGAGTTTAGATAGGGCAGACCAGAGACAGCTCCTAAAAAATTAAAAAAAAATTGTAAAAATAAAATACAAAGTTTTATAAGAAAATTTAAATAAATTTTTTGATAAATTAGTCAATTTTAGGCTGTTTTTGATAATTTAAATATCAAAATAAAGTTGATAATAAGCTTTTTCAGTTTGTTCTAAGTTACCAGAGCAGTTAACCTAATAAAACTTTGAGATAATATAAATAAAAGTATTTTTTAGTTTGTTAAATATATCTCTGTTGAAAAGAAACTTAGAGATAAGAAACTTAGCTGCTTAAGTATAAAATTGGGTTAGAAATAACTTTACTTAGATGTCCAAAAACAGTTTACTTAATAATATATTGAGTAAGAGTCAAATATTTGTAGCAGAAATTTGGTACAAATAATCATTAGAAAGAGTTAATGATTTGTATTCTTAAATTAAAATTCTTAAAACTATATATATATATAATTACATATAATATTATTGTCTAAAGCATAGCTAAGGATACTATATTTCTAGATATTGAAAATCTGTCAGATCATGTGATTGACATCTGTCATGATGTGTAATTAACCAATAAAAACACATCATATAAAAATCTATAAAAATAATAAAATTATAATAAATTTTATAAAACTTTAATTATCTTATAATATAGTAATCAGAATTTAATGATTTTGATACTATTTGATTTATCTTGATGAGATGATTCGAACAGTACCAAAATCATCAAATTTCAATCAATGAGTTATAAGATATCTGAAAAAAACTCTTTATAATACAGATCAATACAAAATTTAAAAAAACTGTATTACAAAGAGTTTTTTTTAAATATCTCTTGATCTAGTAATCAAAATTTGACAATTTTGGTACTATTTAAATTGTCTCATTGAGACAAATTGAATAATATCAAAATCATTCAATTCTGATTACTATATTGTAAGATTATTAAAATTTTGATTACTAAATAAATTTTATAAAAATTTAATGATTTTATAACCTAGTAATTAGAGTTTAACAATTTTGATACCATTCGATTCATTTCGATAAGACAATTTGAATAGTACCAAAACATTAAATTTTGATTACTATGTTAAGAAATATTTAAAAAACCATTTTGTGACATAGTTTATTACAAAATTTAAAACTGCATTATACTGTATTTTTTCAAATATCTCTTGACCCAATGATTAAAATTTGACAATTTTGATACAGTTTGAATTATCTAATCAAGACAAATTAAATAGTACCAAAATTGTTAAATTCTGATTATAAGGTCATAAGATCATTAAATTTTTATAAAGTTTATTTAGTAATCAAAATTAATAAAAATAATTTAGTAATTAAAATTAATAAAAATTTAATGATCTTATAATCTAATAATTAAACTTTAATAATTTTGATATATTTGATTTATTTTGATTAGACAACTTAATAGTATCAAAATCATTAAATTTTGCTTACTGGATTATAAGATATTTAAAAAATACTTTGTAGTACAGTTTTTTTGAATTTTTATATTGAACTATATTACAAAACATTTTTTTTATAAACTTTTTTTCTTATGCTTCAGACTCCTAACAGAGCCTGTTTCTTAGTCTTAAACTAATTATTGATAACTCTAATAGATACTTATTAAACTTTAAAATTATTCAACTTTTTATCCATTTTGGCTTAACAATTCTAACTAATCCTAATCTAATATAGCTTTATATAATTAGTAATCAAGATCAGTTACTAGAATCAATTTTATCTTAATATTTCAAATATCCAATCTTCAAAAAGCAACTCAGACAATCAAATATTATATATTTCAAACAACTTTGTATAGTTGATAACAGTATCTTATTAGACTGAAAACATCTTTCATCCAGACTTTTATACTTATCTAAAGAAAGAAACTTTTTTGGTTTTTCTATTTAAAAGATACAATTCTAGCATACTCTTACTATTAAAATATATTATCACACTACCAATTACCTAATCATAACTTTTATGTTTATTATATTATTAATACATCTAAAAAACTCACAAAATCTAAACTCTGATTAATAAATATTTGAGGCAAGACTTCACTTTAATATCAAAAAAAAAAATAATAAATAAAAATACTACAGTCAAACCTTCTAAATGCATCCCTCTAAGTGCATGACCTTCTTAAATGCATATTAATTTTTTGGCCCAAATATATACTAAACTTCCATAAATGCATTTTTTATTATTGTTCTCTAAATACAAGTTCTTAAAAGTTAGTCCCAATTATATGCATTTATGGAGGTTTGACTGTAATTGTTTTGATACAGTTTGTCAAAAAAAACTTCAACTGTTGATCTTTAGATTCCATACTTTATATATTTTATAGAATTCTTCAAATCTCAAATTGTTGGCAAACTATCATGTTTTTATAACTTGTGAAAAAAACAAAGTAGCTGTTTCATTAGATGTTTCTGCTTCAAAATGGTCAATGCATGCTGCTGGAATTCAGAAGATGCATTAATGCCGATTGCGTTGTAACTAGTGATGGGCAATGCGCATGATTTTTATAATGCCGGCGAAGCAATTTAATTCTGGCAGATAATATGAGCCGGAAATTTTCAATAGGTTCCGGAATATTCCGAAAACTCATAAAGATTCCGAATAATTCCCATGCGCATGAAATGAGAAAAAATTGGAATTTGCACATCACTAGTTGTAACAAGTAAAACATCTAACGTCATTTTCTTTAACATATTGAGAAAAAATTCTGTTGTTTTCTTTCTGAGACAAGACTAGTCCAGTAACAGTTCGCCAAGTGCTAGATGTAATACGTGAGTTCTTGAAAAGTACTCTAAACCATATAAATAAGTTACCCGGGCAATTGATCCACATCAGCCACTCAAATGAATTTCGTCCTATGATGCTTCGCGTGTTAAGCCAATAACTACCTCAGTGTCACCAACAGATTTTCACTAATCGACAATTTTTTTAAAGTCATAAAACGGTACATTAGCATAGAAGAAACTCGCATTTTGACGAAAAATCACGGGTTATAACATTTATGTGATTGGCTAATTTATATAGATCTATGCGTGACTATTGACCAATCAAATCAAATTGAAAATTCTTTCAATACACGAAATAAAACGAACCAAAATTTATTATTAACACGCGAAGTTTTTTTCAAGTTAAAGCAATTTAATCCATCTCTTAACTATTATATTTTACTAAAAACACGTTGTTATACGTTACTACTCTTGGACTATACTACTAAGTAGACCGTTACTATATGTATATTAAAGATCTTACTTGGCCTTCTTATCTGTTTGAATAAATAATACATATATATGCTCTTGGTTCGAGTAGTTAAACACTTTATATTGCTTGGCTTATTTAATAAATATATATAATATTATATTAGTATAACACTTCCGGTTTAACAATTTATAAATCTAAGATTCAGCTTAACTATTTAAATGTAGTAGAAACTCAATAAGCTCTGCTACTTACTGAACGTTTACCTTTATTCTTATGAAAACTCTTTGGGGAAAGCGATTGAAAACAATTAGAAAAGATCTTTCACTAAAGACACCCAAAACGAAGAAATTTTACTAACCAACATGGGTACCTTAAGTTTAACTTATTATGGGTAAATGGATTGGGTTTTTAAACTACAATCATATATCAGATTTTCAATTGCCCATATAAATAGTCGTGTAACAACATTTCCGGAATTTATCGGATGCGAGTTTCTTCTATGCTCGGTACATTACGGTCAGGTTTATACTAAGGAACTTTTTTTATTAACGCGGGTATTTTGATTGTTTTGATTTCACGTTACACCTGATCTTGTAATCTAATTGGTCAATCGCTGTCGATCAGTGAAAATCTTTTAAGCCAATTGATATAAATTGCTTACCTTATAGTCTTGTTATTCCAAACTTATTGTCAACAAAGTAATATGGCGGATCCAAAAACTGTAAGTTTTACCACTGTCGTGAACTCTATTTTCTAAAGTTAACTCTATATTTTCTGTCTTTCTAGTACATACTTCCTCTTCCTAAAGATATGCACAACTACTTTTCATCAGCTCCTTTCAAAACCTGCACGTTCATCGAGTTTCTACGCCGGCTCGATTTAGAACAGAAAGTAAAGAATACTGAACAGAGATTGATTCAAAGAACTTATATGAAATTCCTGAATTCATTGAGCGTAAACCAAGATATACCACAATTTGCTCGGGATCATGCAAAAAAGCTGATAAAAGAGATGAATGTATGTTATATTTCCTAATTTACTTAGTAACCCTTTCGAAAAATATGAATTAACTCAAAAGGTTGATAAAACATAATGTTAGTCCAAGGAAGTTAAATTATTTTGGGATTCGATAGTAGAACGCGAAAAACGTTGTGCCGCAGAGGAGCATTATTACAAATTGCTTGAACAAGTTCGAAACAAGCATGTCTTAATTGGTGGTGCTGACGTTGCTCGAATGCAGAAAGAATATAAAGTAGACGAAGAATCATTGGAAGCTTCTACAGAGAAAAAGCGAAAAGATAAGGATGGCATCGAATCGACACCATCCACAAAAAAGGTAACGGCACAGTGGTATATTCCTCACAAGCTTATATGTTTATATTGATTGATAAACTTACATATATCGTTTTATTATTCAGTCTAGATCAGATTATGAATTTTTATACACACCATCTTCATCTGAAATGGAAAAATTACCTACGCTGGTAACTGATTCGACTTATTATGACGAAGATGATGAAATTACGATTATAAGGGATGTTCCTCAGCTATCTTTAGAGAATAGAGATCTCGAAGACGATTTTTTTATAGAAGAGCGTAATATTTCAAAATTATTTCGACAATATCAAAAAGAATCAGTTAATCTTGCCAATTCTGGTGGTTTATATGTTGAGACAAGCGTTCACGAAATTTTGGCTTTGACATCAATATTCATGCTTGCACCAAATTCTCATTCCGAAATTATGATTAATATCTTTGGTTCCCAAAACTTATTGGACAAAATACATAAAGTACTCTTTCCAACAGATAAGCGAGGATTAGATGCGGAATGTGAATCTAAATTCAGAAGAATAATAAAGCAATCAATCAATGATTCACGAGACAGTGCTATTAAATCCTCAATAGCATTCTTAACAGAAAATAATTCAAAGGAAAATCTAGGATTTGTAATTTTTGAAGGGTTGAGATCATTACCTAATTTGACATTAAAAAGTCAACCAAGTGAAATGACATTAATCACTAACTATCTGGATTATATAATGAAAGAACTATTTCATGAGCCTGACAAGCATAGAGTTGAGTGGCCGAATACAGGTCTTAAAGAAAGTAGAACAAGAAAATTGGAAGGTAGAGCTAGACAACCCGATTTCATAGTATCGGCAATTAATCAGTTAGAAACTAGCGGAACATTATTCGTAGGAGAAGTAACATCCCCTGCCGAAAAAGGCAATGTGCGCAAAAATTGCAATGATTTAATCCGAATTGGTGTTTTTATGAAAGAATGCATCGATTCAGCCATAGATAAAGGTGCAGATGTTAAGCTTTTGGGTTTTCAATGTATCGGTAAGATAAATTAAAATAATAGATGCTTTGTTCCTTCATGTAATTATCCGGAGCGTAGCGGAGGATATTATGGGGAGTAATAGACCAGATTTTGTATGTAATTATACCCACACCTATTTTTAGATAGATGATCATCAATTATCAACTATATCAACCATTAGATTTACTTTTATTTTTAACTACGCTCCGGATATCTAACAGTATCTGTTTTTCTAGTGCTAAAATAATTTCATCATATTTCTAGAATACACAATTGATTTTTACGCAATGGAGCTTAGTGCACCGGGGCTATATTTTATGTACCATATCGGTCAAGCTTCGATTCCCACTTCAGTAAAGACAATTACACATTTTATTGATGATATAGAAACTTTTCTGACGGCACAAGATATTTTCCGAGAATCATTTGTTAATTTTTATGATAAATTATGTAACCCAAAAGAACAATCAACAAAAGCTCCATTTAAACGCGAGACCTTATCTACGCCAGATTTCAATCAACTTGTTAGCAATACGCGTAATGTCAAAAGAAAATGTACTTTCTGATTTGGAAGGTTTTAAAAGAATTCTAAATGTCGGTGTATAAAATAAGCTTATTGCACAAATCCAGTTGTGTGAATTTTTATTATTATTAAAAATATTGTGCTTATATGCGACTAGAGGTGCAGGCGAAACTTAATGCATTGGAATGTGTCGTAACATAACTGAGTTATAATTAGTTATAACTTTTTGCTTTAAGTTACGGCATGCTATAACTTGCGTATATGCCGAATTAATTATTCACGTTATAACTTTTTATATATGCCGTAACTTGTTATATTGTACCCTCGTTATAGCGGACCCCGTTAAAACGGATCCCTCATTATAACGGAGTGATAATTTAAACCATTTTAAAATTTTTATTACTATACTATATTATAACGGATGGAATTTCCCAGCCCGATCACTCCGTTATAAAGAGGGTAGAGTGTATATTTATTTTTATATTTAACTTATCATTACAACGACAAATTTTTATTTATTAAGAGCATACAATAACAAAGCACATATCAATATATAGGTAGGTGCTGGAAAAAGGAACAAAATTGACAAAAAATAAGATCTTTGGAAAATCAAATTTTAAAGAGTTAACTTTATTAATAAATTTATTATTAAAATCTACTAAAAAATATTATTAGTTATGTTATTTTTTACTTTTGAGTTAGTTTTAGCTACTAATTAATTGAAAAAATTTTTTAATAACAGTTTATTTTTTTTAAGTATTTTTTTGAATTCAAGAACAGGTTTCTTTTTATATATATGCTTTCTTTTATATAACATACCTGCTATTAGCTTAATTTTTTTGCTAAAAGAATGCAACTTTAAAAATAAAAAAAATTATAAGTAATCTGAGTATAATAATAAAATAATTATTTATTTACTTAATATTGTTTTATCAAGCTTTGCACATATTTTATAATATGCAGATTCCAGTTCTTGAAACTCAGATTAAGAGTAGATAATGTTATTTCTTAACACAGATGATTTATTTTAAAAATTTTTTATTTCTTTTGAAATCTTTTCTGGTAGCAGCAAATAGTTGAACAAATTAACATATTCTGAATCATTTTCAGTTTTGTATAAGCAATAATAACATATCATTGCTTCTTGTTGTAACTTAAAAAAATTAAGTAAACATTTTAGAACTTTAAAAAAAACATTTATTTCTGTATTAAAATCATGTTGTAGAAGTATATTCTTTATGTTTTTGGTGTAAATATACATAATTAGTCTTAGATTTTTTTGTATTTACAATTAATTTATTATAATGTTTTTGGCACAAAGCCTTGTTAGCCAAGTTCAAATGTTGGCTAAAACTTGATATGTATGATTACTTAATTGGACACCATAGAAGCATTATGTTATTTATTATAAATAATTTTTTTCTGATTTTTTTAATTACAATTTTAGCTTTTTTTTTTGTTTTTATTAAAAAGAACTAGATCTTTATAATAAAAATCTTGTGCAGACATGCTTTTAAAAAATATTTTTTAACTAACTTTTGAATTATTTATTATTTTTCAAATTATTTTAACTATATATAAAACTAAAAGTATTCTTTAAGATTTATTGAATCATAACTTTTTATAATTAGTTTTTATAGTATGCAATTAATTTTTTGTTTTTAGTATTAAAATAATCTCTTTGGTCTTTTGACTTTTATTAATAACTTTTTTAATAATGTGATTCAATGAACTACTACAGAAGAGTGTACAATTAATTACATATATAACTTTTCTGTATTATCTATTTAAGAAGTCTGTCTAAAGATTCTCTACCAATTACTGTATTTAATACTCCTGTTTGGATGTTCTATTTTAAATTTTCTAAACTTGCAACCTGTATTAATATTACTGAGTCATATCCAGATGTTCAGATTATTGTCTCAACCTTAAGACTATTTTATTTTTAAAGTAAACCTCTTAGAGCTTTCTATACCTATTTTTATAACTAATCTAGTATTGCTATAGTAAAACCAACACTTACAATTAGGTTTAACTATTAAACTACTGTGCCCTTATAGAATTCATACAGATCTCAGCATCTATGTTATAATATAACTCTAGTATTTTAGTATATTTTTGCCTTTTCACCTATCTTTTTACCAAACTCTTAATTCAGATAGTCTATATAAGACTATGACCAGTCTATTAATATATCAGGTTAGTTCAATATCTTTTTCCTTTAGTTCATTCTAACAGTCTAGTTGGTGGTATCTTTGAGCCTTTTTCAACTCAGAGATTCTTGCCTATCTGAGTATTATGTTTAAATACTATAAGCTTGGTATTTGTTTTCTTAGATTAGTATTTATATAGTAATATAATTAATTTAAAGTTAACTAGTAAGCTATTCTAATATATAAATATTATTAGTATAACATTTTAATATTTTAGTTAATTAGAATACAAGTCTACTATATTAGTTATTTTAATACAAATATAATTTTTATAATTTATTATCTGTGAAATTTTAACACTAAACTTGTTATTTGAAAGTTAACAATCTGTTTATTTTACTAAGTCACTATATTTCTTATATAGTCTAATTGTAATATATATATATTATATATAATAATAGTATTTTTTTTTAATCTTAAGTAGTTATGTTAGTACTTTATTAAGATTCTTAAAATTACTTTTACAATTATATAAATATATCTAACAACTAAGTCTAGCATTAACTAGTTACTCTAAAGTATCTAAATACAATCTAACATACTATTTTAAACAGAAATAAATGAGAATAGTAATTCTAGTGTAGTGGTTAGGTTGTCATTCTCCAAGTAACAAGTCTAAGATTCAAATCTCATCTATAATGAAATTTGAAAATTATATCTGCATTATAGTAACTGTCTTCTGCCAATCAGTTGGCCTTATGCAGCTGTAATCTAGATATACCAAGTTAGGTTCTATTAATATTGAGAGCTTGGGCATTTATGTGAAGTGTACATTACATGTACATAGAAAAATATATAACTGGTATTGCATAAAACTTCAGTGCAAATCTATGATAAGACTACTAAATATAAAAAACTAAGAAACTAAAATGACAGAAACCCACTTGAAAATTCCCAAATAAAGAGATAGAATAAACTTTTAATAGTATCATTAAACTGATTAAAGCCTATAAAACACCTTTATAAAAACCAAAGCTTAAACTAAATATCAAATATATATAAAAAAGCATATAATTAACTAGACTATCAAACTCATTAAAGAAAAAAGATACAGAAGTATATTATACTAGGTCATCTAGATTGGTAGTCTGTAAGAGACTGCTAGTTCTGAGTTGCAGCTAGTAGAAGATAATAAAGAAGATGCTAAAAAAATAGATACTGAGGTTCTAGTGAACTTTACAAGAGTAAAAATAGTATAATATAACAGTTAAACAAGTAACTTCTATAACTGCAAATGTTAGATAACTATAACATATTGCATAAAACTAGGTTAGTATATATAGAATATAAAGATTCTAATAAGTTTTCTGTTAAGAATAAAGTAGTCAAAAGAGTACTAATCAGTATTGAAAACTTGGATGGGTATAGCTTTAAAGATGTTCTCATAATATAAGAAGAATTGAATATACAAAAAGTTTAAATAGGCAAGACTTCTAATTGGCTTGCAGGTATGGCATTTAGTATAAAACTTATATAGCAATGTATAAGCAAACTACTTAAATTAGACACCAAAAGTGCACATGTATCTAGTTGTAACCTCTAATATAAGGAAGCCTCTGAAGGCAATCTGTGTTCTATATATTTGAATAAAAATGTTGCATCCCAAAAATAAGAACTTTAATATTAAAAAAAAAAAAAATAAACAGAAATAAACTACTTTTCTGACTACTTAAAGTTTATAATAGAAAAGTTTTTTCTCTTTCATAACAAGTTCTAATATTGTTTTTCTAGTTTCTTATTTAATTTTTTCTTTTTTCTCTTTTGCTTGCTTTGTTTTTTCTTTTATTTTTTGCTAATTTGTCTTTTTTTTTAAGTTTTTTTTTATATATTTTTTTTTTATTTTGCTTATTATGCCTTTTTTATTCTCTTATTTATTAACTTTTTTATATTTTATTTTTCAAAGTTGTTCATAGAAAATGTTTTATACTGTTTTTGTTACTGTATTTGCAAACTGCCTTTATACTTAAGAGTTGTGCTAATCTGTTTTGTATATTTTTTGAAATTAGGCCTTTAATTAATACTTCTTTTATTTTTATTTTTTTTGTCTTTATTTTTATAAAGAGTGTTAAATATAGCACATATAGAGGAATATAAGTCTTTTTTTTCTTTAAGCCCTTTTTAGACTGTTATAATAGTTACTTTTTGAATTCATTTTTAAAGATTTGTTTGTCTTTTATATATATAATGTCAAGTGTAATTATGTTTCTATTACTTTATCTTAACATATTTGATATTTTGTTATTGTCTATATATTTGGCCTTTTTCTGTTAAGTTTCTCTAAGGTTAGAAGCTTGTTTATTATATATTTTATAAGTATACATCTTCTTGTATTACTTCTTCTTATTGTGTAATATACTTATTTAGTTATTTTTAGTCTTTTTTAAAATTGTGTTTAGTTATAAATCATGATCTCTGTTTTTGGCTCTAATTTTCTAATTATTTTTGTTTCTTTTTATTTTGCTTTTAGTCTTGTATTTGTTACCAATTTGTATAATAGTCTTGCTGATATATTAGTTCATCTGTTTTTTTACTCTAAACAGTACTCTATCTTTTTACAACCAACTTTTCTATCTATATTACTTTTTTACTTGTTATTCTTTTTTTTGTATAACTATTAGCTTTATTATTTTACTTGTTCTTGCAATGACTTTTACTTTAACTAACTTTATCTGTATTTTTTTTATATTAATAAGATCTATAATTTTTATTATTTATATTGCATTTTTCTTTTTAAGAAATCTTTATTATATTTATTTGCTTTAGACTTTTACTAATATTTTTTATTGCAGCATTATTGTCTATATATATTTTAACTTGTTTTTCTTTTGGT